TTCAAATTCTCAATTCTCTCCACGTCCCGTATATCCTTAATGCCCATTGTTCCATTTCCCTCTCTTTTAAATTCCTAAATGAACTTATTGCTTTGCTATCCATCTTGAACGTTAAAGACCATGTAGTGTAATGTGGGGAAACATTTCTTGGAATTACATTTAACCAAGGAAGATGGAATCACTCTGTTTGGATCACTATTTTAATCTGAGATAGTTTTCAATGGTTTATGTACTTCCAAACAGAACACCATAGAATCACATAGTCACAAACTTCTATGCAGAGGGAGTCCATTTGGCCCATTGTGCCTGCACCTAGTGCCAATCTTCTGCCACCCCGCCCCCGCTTTTCCCTGCACACCATTTCTATTCAACTAACCATCCAATGTCCCTCTTGAATTCCTCAACTGAACCACCTTCAGCACATTTCCCAGCAGTGCATTCCAGACCCTAACTGCTGACTGTGTGAAAACCGTATTTTTCTCTCATCACTTTTGCTTTATTTGCGTGTCACTTCAAGTCTATGCCCTCTTGTTCTCATTCCTTTTATGAACAGATACAGCTTCTCCCTATCCTACACAGCCTGCTCATGAATTTAAAATTCTTTTTCAGATCTCCTCTCAGCTTTCTTCTCTCCAAAGAGGACAGCTCCAGTTTATCAATCTATCCTCATAATTGAAGATTTTCATTCCTGGAACCATTCTTGAAAATCATTTCTGCGCTCTCTCTCTGGTGCATTCACATCTTACTTTAATATGGTGCCCACAACTGTAACAATTCTCCAGCTAAGATTTGACAAGTATTTTATACAAACGCAACATTACCTCCTTGCTCTTGTACTCTATGCCCCTATTAGTAAAGTCAAGGACATTGTTTATTGACTACTTTGTTCACCTATCCTGCCACCTTCAATAATTTACACCACATTTACACCAGCTCCCTCTACTCCTGCAGTCCCTTTAGAATTGTGCCCTTTGTCGTCTATTGTTTTCAACATTCTTCCTACCAAAGTGCATCATCTTACAATTCTCCATACTGAGAGGTTGGTGGAATGGGCAGATAAGTAGCAAATGAGGTTCAATATCCTTTTGGAGTTCAATGCTGTCCTCCTTCCAGTTTACAATTGACAGTAACAATACATAGTAACAAAAATCCTTCTGTGCCTTCAGTGTTTTCCTGTTCAGCTAATTCTCCCATCAAATAGTTTTACAGTCAGAATCACTCCTTCCAGTAAACTGTACCTATTGTCAGCCTGCCAAACAATTTTCTTTATCTGTTTGCGCTATCCTTTTCTTCTTGCTCACTTGCTCAGAGACGTTCTTTCTCTCTTTCAAAGTTCAACATCTGATTTACTGGAATAATGAAAATATCCAGGTATTATCCTGCAACTTCCATAGGACTGTACATTGTGGTTCAAAGTACATTAACTCATTGTATGTGATAAGGCATTACATAAATGCAAGGCAGTTTTGATTTCCAGCACAAGCACTGTATGGCACTTAAGAAAAAGATGCTGGATGACTATTGGTCTATTGCAGCTCCAGATACTAGGGCCAATATTTGTGGTCTGATTATTGCTTGGACTGAAATCAGCACCAGCCTGGGCTAAACACATTGTAGATTGCCAATATCTGATGGGAAAATAAGACACTTTTAACATTCTGCCCAAAACCAATTTATGAGGTCAGTTCTCCCTCACTGAGTAAACTTTTCATCTCTGACTCACAGAACAGAACAGTACATTTCAGGAACAGGCCCTTCAGCCCATCATTTCTGTGCCAACCATGATGCTATTCTAAGTATCCCATTTGTCTGAACATGGTTCATATCCTTCTATTCTCTGCCTGTTCACATGTCTGACTGTCAGAATGTTGTGCGTTTCTGTCCCACTCCAGAGATCTGGACACATGCTGTAGTCTAAGTTGGCACTAATTGGAGGAGAGCTGTCCTGTCGGAAGTGCTGCCTTTTAGATGAGACATTGTACTGAGACCCCATCTGCCTCTCAGATGGAAATAAAAGATCACACAGTATTATTTCAAAGAAGAGCAGACTATGTTTCACACATCATTTTTATATGGCAAATTAAGCAGCAAAAGGTTTTGAGATTTACAGAGAGTTTTATTGTAAATCTATAGTTTAGCAGAAACACCGGTTTCTACCTTCCCTTCTATACTCATTCCTGCCCAGAAACCAACACCCCAATGTGTAGTGATTGTACTGAGGTCAGCCAGATGGACCTCCTAGAATATGAGTTCCCTGATTGGGGCTGTTAACCTGGTCCAAACAGGGAGCCCTGGATGACAGATATAAACAGGAGTGTCAGAGGTTCTGTTCACTCTGAGAGCTGGCTCTGAGGGAGCTGGATCAGTGTCAAAGACCTTCCATGTGTAATTAAAGGGTGACTTGGCGATAGGATACCAGCCCCTGTCGAGTTATTTCACACTGGGATATAATTGAGTTCTGCTTCTTTAGGCTACATGTTAACTGATCACCTAGTTATTCAAATTACGAACACTGCTCACCAACAGCAGCGTTACAATGACAAGAAAACTAAAAGAGGAGGAAACAAGAGCAGGGACAAAATCAGGATGGAATTGGTGGAGAAAATAATGCACTTCATCCCCCATAGTACTCCCCTCTTTCAATGCCCAAGGAATGTTGGTGGATATTATGTGCTCCCTGTCCAAGGACACTTGGGCACAAACGTAGTTGTGGAAGCAGGCTACTTTGTCCAGGACAGGGGCAGGTCCAGGAGGAAGTCCTCCACCCTGCTCACTCTCTACTGCACAGGGTACCCAAAGGTCAGAAATGTGGGCCTGAATTGCAACCAAAAAAAACGATAACAAGTTCTTTAAAGTAACCAAAGGCAGGATGCTGTAGAGGGAACTGTTTGCAACCATCATATACATTGTCCATGGACTTCACAACACCACAGAATAAACAGATGGGCTGGGCATCGGTAAGCCACCACAATCTGTGATTGTGCAGCACCCTCCACCCCAGGACTCAAGGGAAAGCGGGAGGACTCCCACCTAGAGAGCCCTCCACTAAGAATCCCCACCATCGGCCGGTGAAATGGAAAACCAATACGTCTCTGCTCAGAACTCCATTATTTTTAATTTAGAAAGGTTGTTGATAGTTCAGAATAAGTGATCGGAATGTAAGAATGGCAGAAAAATGTGTGTCTCACTGCCAGACTGGAAAGAACCGATAGTCCCACTGGGGTGAGGGGAGGGGAGAGAGGACATGGTGACAGAGAATCTAATAAGCAAAACTAAGAGGAAGGGAAGGAGAAAAACCTTCTGGACTTCAAATTAAGGTATTGAACTTAATATTAAGTCCAGAAGGTTTACTCCTTCCCTTTCTTTTAGCTTTACTTGTTACATTCTCCATCACGATGTCCTCTCTCCCCTCCCCTCACCCCACTGAGACTGTCTGTCCTTTCCAGTCTGATAGTTAGACACTCCATTGTTCTGTCTTTCTCACCTTCCCATCACTTATTCTGAACTATCAACAACCTTTCTGTCCCAACACTCCAACCATCCACCTCCCAAAGAAACGCTGGCCCCTCCACACTTCACTTCAGTTCTGATGAAGATTCATCTCGACCCTCAACATTAGTTTGCTCTCTCTCCAATGGATGGTGCCTGACTCGCTGTGATCTCCAGCATTTTTGTTGTTTTCAGTAGAGATTCCAGCTTCTGCAGTAATTTGCTCCACAACCAAATCACTCCAATTAACTAATGAAACAAATAACAAATTACAGAGAACTCATCTCTTAAATTCAAACACCTAATAAGCATCACTGTTTTCAATTAACTCTGGAACTGACCTGTTTGAATCTTAAAGGGATTCAATCTCTGCATTTCTAACCCTGGCAGAGGAATTTGTCAAGACCCATCACAGCGAATATCATGCCTGAACCAACATCTTTAAATATAGGAACAAAAACAGAAATTGCTAGAAAATCTCAGCAGATCTGGCAGCATCTGTGGAGAGAAAGCAGAGTTAATGTTTTGAGTTAATTGACCCTTCTTCAGAACTGATGGTAGCTAGGAAGATGTCAGTGTATATATGCTAGAGGAGGGGTGGGAAAAGGGTAAGGAGTAAAATGATAGTTGAAGATGGAATCCAGAGAGAGAGAGAAAACCACATAGGCTCACATGGGCTGCAACCACAAACAAACCATTGTCAGCCACTAACGGTACCCATTAGTACCTATTCATTCTCCCAAGCTGACCTTTACCCACTCCTTGTCTGCCCAACTGTATTTTGCTCGCGCTCTGGGCTCCATCTCCACCTATCGTTTACTCCATCCCCCTCCCCCCACTCCTCCTCTGGCATATATTCCTAGCTACAGTCAGTTCTGAAGAAGGGTCAACATTAGCTCTGCTTTGTCTCCACAGATGCTGTCAGACCTGCTGAGATTTTCCAGCAATTTCTGTTTTTGTTTCTAATTTCCAGCATCCGCAGTTCTTTGGGGTTTTTTTCATTAAATATAGGAACTGTCCATTTTGTGGGATCTCGCTGTGGCCACGTTTCCAACATAACAACAGGGACTACACTTCAGTATCTTACTTCATTGGGTGTGAAGTAGTACTTTTGGACATCCTGAGGTCATGAAAGGTGCTGTAGAAATGCACATTTTCTTTTGACACTGGAAGTCAATTAGAATGTGTGTGTTGCAGGTTTCTCTTGTGGAATTTAATCAATGAGGCTGCCTCTGATAAGACTGGTTAAACATCATGTCTCATTTATATTGACTCTGAGAATTGCCCTTTCAAACAGACTTGTAGCTGATCGCCAGTGATTGGTTGTATGCCAGTTAGAAACCACTCCACAAGAAGATCAACATGTATGTTCTACCGTTCACAAATCAGGCAAAGCCAACAGCAACTGTTGCTGCCCTAACTCCTGTACAGTACTATAAATGGTACATGATTTAATGTCTATTTTTTTGCAGGGAAATTTGAAATATTTTTTCTTTTTTGTTAATGTTCAGCTCATTGGAACTTTAGAAGAGGTTCAGATGCCGCAGAATGGAATTACCCATCAGGGTATCAGTGCTTTGGCCCTGTCTTTCACAAAGAACGCAAACCTCCGTGTCCTTAACCTCAATGACAATACCTTCACTGAAACTGGGGCCATCTACATGGCAGAGGTATGTCTACATCTCTTAGAGCTGCTGCACCTTAAATAGTGCTGCAGATAGACACTGAGTGCAGAAAAAAGGAGGGAGTGAAAACCAGGAATACTCAGTGTTGTATATAGCATTGTCTTTTGTCCCGTTTATCTGTGCCAGTGTTTATGTTCAATCCTCCATATGCATATTGTCTACCTACGGTTAAGTAAAGTTAGAGAAAACATCAAACTTTACTTAACCATAGGTAGAACATCAGAGAATAACAGGACAATTAATCAGAAGAAAGAAATTAGACTGAGATGAAACTAGAAATGTAAAAACAGATAGCAAGAGCTTCTACAGGTAATTAAAAAGGAAAGAATATTTAAAATGAGTGTTGGTCCTGTATAACAGAGTTAAAAATTCATACTGAAGAAATGGCAGATGAAATAAACAAATATTTTACTTCTATCTTTACTATAGAGTTAGGAAGGTACATGGTGCACTAGCCTTCGTCAGCCATGGTATAGATAACGAGAGCAGGGAGGTTATGTTGGAGCTGCACAAATCTTTGGTTAAGCCACAGCTGGAAGTACTGTGTCTAGTTTTGGTCACCACACTATAGGAAGGATGTGATTGCACTGGAGAGGGCGCAGAGGAGATTCACCAGGATGTTGCCTGGGATGGAGGATTTTAGCTATGAAGAGAGGCTGGATAAGTTTGAGTTGTTTAACTTGGAGCAGAAAAGGCTGAAGGAGTAACCATGAGGGGCATATACAGGGTGGATAGGAAACTGCTATGTTCCCCTTTGTTGAAGGGTCAATAAGAAGGAGGTATAATTTTAGGGTGTAGAAGAGATTTGAGGAAAATGTTTTCACCCAGACGGTGTTGGGAATAGAACATAGAACTGTACATCACAGGAATAGGTCCTCTGGCCCACATTGTTGAGCTAAACATAACGCCAAATTAAACTAATCCTTTCTACCTGCCCTTAGTCTGTATCCCTGCATTTCTTGTGTATTCATGTGCTGATCTAAAAGTCCTTTAAATGCCCCTTATCAGATCTGCCCCCACCATCACCCCTAACAGTGTGTTCCAGACTCCTCCTCCTCTCTGTTTAAAAAACCTGCCCCTCATATCTTCTTTGAACTTAGCCAGTTAAGTTGATGTCTGTCATGGGTAATGTACCGGATTCAGTCATTAACAAGGTTACAGCTGGGCATTTAGATAATATAAAGGTAATACGGAAGAGACATTGTGGTTTTGTGAAATGGAAACACTGTTTAATTTATTTATTGGAATTCCATGAAGGATATTAAGCTAGAGAGGATTCAGAAGAGATATACCATGATGTTGCCGGGTATGGAAGGTGTGAGTTATAAAGAGGGGCTGGATAGGCTGGGGTTAAAATTGAATCAGAGATAGTAGGAACTGCAGATGCTGGAGAATCCGAGACAACAAGGTGTAGGTTACGTGGAACAATCCCTCTTCCGTACCTACACCGGCCCTAAACCCCACCTCTTCCTCCGTTACATTGATGACTGTATCGGCGCCGCCTCGTGCTCCCACGAGGAGCTCGAACAGTTCATACACTTCACTAACACCTTCCACCCCAACCTTAAGTTTACCTGGACCATCTCTAACACCTCTCTCCCCTTCCTGGACCTCTCTGTCTCCATATCGGGCAACCACCTAGAAACCGATATTCATTTCAAGCCCACCGACTCCCACAGCTACCTAGAATACTCCTCCTCCCACCCACCTTCCTGCAAAAATGCTATCCCCTATTCCCAATTCCTCGCCTCCGCCGCATCTGCTCCCAGGATGAGGCATTCCACTCCCGTACATCTCAGTTGTCCTCGTTTTTCAAGGACCGTAACTTCCCCTCCTCGGTGGTCGAGAACGCCCTCAACCGTGTCTCCCACATCTCCCGCACCTCATCCCTCACACCCCGTCCACGCAATAAGAACCAAAAAAGAATCCCCCTCGTCCTCACGTACCACCCCACCAACCTCCGGATCCAACGCATCATCCTCCGACACTTCCGCCATCTGCAATCCGATCCCACCACCAAAGACATCTTTCCCTCCCCACCCTTATCTGCTTTCCGGAGGGACAACTCTCTCCGTGACTCCCTTGTCCGCTCCACACTCCCCTCCAGCTCCACCACACCCGGCACTTTTCCCTGCAACCGCAGGAAGTGCTACACCTGCCCCCATACCTCCTCCCTCACCCCCATCCCAGGTCCCAAGAAGACTTTCCACATCAAGCAGATGTTCACCTGCACATCTGCCAATGTGGTATACTGCATCCGCTGTACCCGGTGTGGCTTCCTCTACATCGGGGAAACCAAGCGGAGACTCGGGGACCGCTTTGCAGAACACCTACGCTCGGTTCGCAATAAACAACTGCACCTCCCAGTCGCGAACCATTTCAACTCCCCCTCCCATTCCTCAGACGACATGTCCATCCTGGGCCTCCTGCAGTGCCACAACGATGCCACCCGAAGGTTGCAGGAACAGCAACTCATACTCCGCTTGGGAACCCTGCAGCCCAATGGTATCAATGTGGATTTCACAAGTTTCAAAATCTCCCCTCCCCCTACCGCATCCCAAAACCAGTCCAACTCGTCCCTGCCTCCCTAACCTGTTCTTCCTCCCACCTATCCCCTCCTCCCACCTCAAGCCGCACCTCCATCTCCTACCGACCAACCTCATCCCGCCCCCTTGACCTGTCCGTCCTCCCTGGACTGACCTATCCCCTTCCTAACTCCCTACCTATACTCACCTTTACTGGCTCCATCCCCGCCTCTTCGACCTGTTTGTTTCCTCTCCACCTATCCTCTCCTCTATCCCTCTTCTATCCGCCTCCCACTCTCTCCCTATTTATTTCAAAACCCCCTTCCCCTCCCCCTTTTCTGATGAAGGGTCTAGGCCCGAAACGTCAGCCTCTCTGCTCCTATGATGCTGCTTGGCCTGCTGTGTTCATCCAGCCCTGCACCTTGTTGTCCTGGATAGGCTGGGATGTTTTTCACTGGACCATAGGAGATTGAGACATGACCTTACAGAGGTTTATAAAATCATAAGGAGTATAAATAGAGTTAATGGTAGGTGTCTTTTCCTTAGGATGGGGAATTTCAAGATGAGGGGGTATATTTTTAACATGGGAGTAGAAACATTTTAAAAAAGACATGAGGGGCAAATTTTTTTACATGTGGAATAAACTTCCTGAGGAAGTGGTTGATGTGGGCACAGCTATGTTTAAAAAACACTTGGATAAGTACATGAATAGGAACGGTTTAAAGGGATATGGGCCAGGAGCGGGCACATGGGACTAGTTTAATTTGGCATGACGTTCAGCATGGATTGGTTGGACAGAAGGGTCTGTTTTAGTGCTGTATCACTATGACTTTATGACTCTATAACCATTAAAAAAAAATTATCCCTCCATGTGTTTTTAAATCTCTCTCCTTTGATCTTAAATGTGCCCCCTCGTCTTGAAATCCCCCATCGTCATTATTTTATAAACTTCTATAAGGTTGCCTCTCAACTTCCTACATTCGAGTGAAAAAGTCCCAGCCTATCCAGCCTTTCTTTATACATCAAACCCTCCATGCCTAGCAATATCCTGGTAAATCTCTTCTGAACCTTCTGAAGTTTAACAATATCTTTCCTAATGAACTTCCAGAGGAATTGGTGGATGCGATTACAGTTACAATGTTTTAAAGACTTTGGATAAGTACATGAATAGGAAAGGTTTGGAGGGCTATGGGCCAGAAGCAGACAGGTGGGATTAGTTTAATTTGGGATTGTGGTCAGCATGGACTGGTTGGACCGAAGGATCTGTTTCCATGCTGTATGACTAACGTGGAGATGAATAAAGGGAAGCCTATTGAGGTGATGTACTTGAATTTCCAGAAGGCATTTGACAAGGTGCTGCATTAAAAGTTATTGCATGAAGTAAGAGCTCAAGGTGTAAAATTAACACAATAACACAGAAAACAGAGACAATGCATTAATGGGTCTTGTTCTGATTGGCAGGATGTGATATATGGAGTCCTGCAGGCTCCTGCTGTGGGGCCTCAACTTTTTACAATTTCTGTCAATGATTTGGATATGGGAAATGAAGGCATGTTAGATTGGCAGATGATACAAAGGTGGTTGGGAAAGTAAAGTCACAGAAAAGCTATGGCACAGAAAGAGGCCATTTAATCTATCATGGTCATCAGGAAGAGATAGCTTGACTTTGTGAAATGGAAATCATTTTATGAAGAGGACAGAAGAAATTTGCGGATAAATAGGCTGCGTAAATGGACTAAAATCTGGCAGATGGAATGTAATGGGAAAAATGTGAAGTTGTTCATTTTGCAAAAAGAATATAAAAGCAGAGTATTACTTGAATGGTGAACAATGGCAAACTTCTCGGATATGGAGAGATCTACCTATTCTATGAATCACAGTAGTTGGACCACAAATGCTGCAAGTAATTAAAGCTCACAGAATGCTGAGATAACAAGGTGCGGAGCTGGATGAACACAGCAGGCCAAGCAGCATCAGAGGAGCAGGAAAGCTGACATTTCGGGCCTAGACCCGTCTTCAGAATGCTATCCTTTATTAGAAGAGGAATTGACGGTAAAAGTAAGGATATTATGGAGTCAGTTATATAAAGCATTGGTGAGACATAGTAACAAAGAAAATAGGAGCAGGAGTAGGCCATTTCCCTTAATGCCTGCTCCACTATTCAGTATGACTGATCATTTCACGTTAGTAGGAAGAATAGAGGCATAGACTATTTTCCAAATCTGGAAAGACTTTGGAAATCTGAAGCACAAGCAGACTTGGTGTTCCTAATTCAGGATTCTCTTAAAGTTAACATCAGGGTAAGTTGGTAGTTAGGAAGGCTAATGCAATGTTAGCATTCATTTCAAAAGCAGGGATGTACTGCTGAGGCTGTACAAGGTTCAGGTCAGACCATATTTGGAATATTGTGAGTTTTGGGCCCCATATCTAAGGAAGGACGTGCTGGCCTTGGAAGGGGTTCAGAGGAAGTTGACAAGAATGATCTTGGGAATGAAGGGC